TAGATTTAAATCTTAGAAATACGTTGACCTCCATCATAATTAGAAGTAAAGACCCACCAACAAAATTTCTTGGCACTGAGTCCAAATGTCTTAAAGGAATTCAACCAAAGCATCAGTCAGATGTCAGAGTTGAAGTGAATGGTAGATAAAAACTAGAGTAAACATAACACTTAGTTATCAAAATAGCCACTTGCTGGATTAAACGGAATTTCGCTATAGCCAGCTTGTGAGTGTTACTTTAAGAACTGAATAAGGTGTTCTTTAATGTCTTTTCTTCCCATGGATAGAGCGTCGGTAAGCGCTGAGTGCTGCCATCACAATTGATATGAACAGTAGTCAGATTATGCCATTTTGCTGTTCCGTGTTCTGTACTGTTGAAAATATAACTTAGATTATTCAAGTGAAGAAATTCTGAGTGCATGTGGAAGTCTTAAAGTACTAAACCCCATTTGATAGACTTATACACATATGCCTTTTGTCTTAAGCTCCGAAAGAAACATGACCAATTAATCACATGGATTATTGAGCCAAACAAACACTATATCACAATTCACCTATTCTATAAGTGGGAGATACATTTTGGCGAACAACTCATTCTAACTTGCATTCTTATTTACAGGGTTAGATTTATTCAGTGATTTTTTTGCTTGCAGTCAGTGGCAAGTCACTGGTGTCCTTTTGCAGTTACGACCACTTACTTGCACTCATAAGGCAAACTTGGCTCAAGAGTGTCAATCGCTATTAAAAGATTTAAGAGTTACGTTTTCAGTGGAGCGACAGAGGTCCGCTGTGGCTGATTTCGCGGCTGCTTTGATCCTATTTTCGTCTTCGCTCTCTTGACCTCATTTTCTTTTTTTTTTTTACTTTAAGCATGCACTATTTTAAAAATTGGCTTGAAGCAGATTAGTGTGAGAAACCAAAATAACCTCACGCCCAAGCATATATTATTAAACTTTTATTCTATTTATTTTCTGAATAACAAAGACAACAACGTTGTTTTCTTAAATTGCAGTGCAGTTACCAGAATGCAGACACATCTTCTTATGAAACCCTTACATTGCCATAAATCTCACAGGATTGTTAGTTCAAAATAGTCTCGTGACTACTTTAGTGTAATCAACTCTAGTCATCGTTAAGACCGATATAGTATCGATGAGTCTGGATGATATTTTATCATAACTCAACTTCCGTTTTCAATATAATAAAGGAATTGTTTGTTTAGATTCTTTTGTACCTCTCCCTGATACCAATATGAAGCCATTTCTCCAAAGGATGACAGTTTTGTTTAAACTAAGAAAGTTTTCAAGGGTATTATTTGTGTAGGTTCCTCATGGATAAAATAAGTCATCGGAGCGACTACGTAATTAAAGCATCGATATGGTGGAGGTCGTCATCTATTTTGATCCAAATATGACTGCTCATATTTTTGTCAGGCTCATTGTGCCTGAGGAAGTTGTTCTGAGCAGAATGACACTGCAAAAACATACTCTTTCATTAGCATTATATTAAAGTCAATAGCAACGGTCAAAAGTCGCAAAGTGATTCAATCATGAAAACATTTTTAAGTTTGACTTTGCCTTTACTGGAGCTATGCACAATATTCTATATTAGCTTCTCTGTAAAACTTACAATATGTATTTAAGTTCTCACGTTTTTGAGACTTCCCTATTGTTTGAAGCGATTTGGAACACAGTATTTCTCTTGGAACTGGAATGACCCGCGTTCGTGAACTCTACAGAGCGTTTAATATACGGCCCTATTTCATGGCAATTAAGTCAACTTCTAATTATAAAGTTGTTTGTTGACCTAAAAACGTATTAATCCTAATGAAGAGAAAGAAATCATGCGCTCATAATTGAACAATAACTTAGTTTCTGCTTTCATTACCTCCTTCCAAGCTTTACTGTTTGAAGAATAGTTACCTCTAAATTTGAAATCTAGTATGACCTATTTTCTACTCACTTCTCTCTGATGCTATCCAGTACTTCTTGAGGCACTGTCATGTTTTGTAATCTTTCACTTTTAATCAAAACTATAACAACATTATCGAATGTTATTGGTTATCACCAGCCCGATTTGAACAGTAATAGGACAGTGTACGCGTCATGCTTGTTATTGGATAGTATAGTAGGACAGTTAGCACGTCATGCCTGTGGAATTGGACAGTATCTGTCATGTTGTTGTGTATTGGTTGGGTTTAATATTGTTGTTCTTATTGTTGCTTTTTTTTTTATGAACACGTACAACCAACGGCTAGGTTGTTTTTTCAATTCTGTCATAGTTTTGATTAATTTGCCACTTTTTGCCATCGTCCGATTTAGTGAATCACTCATATGAGTACAAACCGAATTGGACTCAACCCAGTCCTTTTAAAATTACCCAGTGACTGTTTAAATCAGTTGCTCCCTCGCTATTGTTTTTCACGTCAATTACTGCTGTCGAAAACCAGCCAGTTACTACAGAGTATCGGTCATTATATTAGTGACTCATAATTAGTCTAGGTCATATTCAGATGTAACCTTTTTTATTTTAAAATGAACCATTCTTTCAGGAAAACTTTTTATTTTGATTAAGTATTCTTTAGAATAAATGAGACAAAAGGTCGATCGTAACAAGATATTGATCTGCATCCGAGCTGTCTCAGCTCAAAATAAAGACTAAATTCGTTTGAGATAAATGGCACGTTTTTATATGGAATAAATCCTTGTCTTTGAAGTGCTGTTAATTTTAGTCAGTAAAAAGGAGGTCAAACGCTGAAATTTTAAATTTTTTCAAAAATTTTCTGAATCCGCAAAGAAATATATCCCTGTCTACTAACATGTAAGATGGTGACATTTCAATGGTACTACACCGTTTTCAAAAATCTCATACTCACGTCTTAAAAACAAATGTGAAGGAAACGTATTAATACCATGTTGAAAATCACGCATAATCCATCTATGCTGATTTTTGAATTTTAACAGAAGGAATTGTCACACACAGTTTTGCGATTATAGTTTCGAGAGATGACCTGTTATGACGACGACCGAGTGGTTGCATGATGCTGCCTTGTGTTGCCAACTGCAATTACCTGTCCATGGATTTCATAAATGTCGATGATGACCCGAAGCAAATGTACATCTATTCCAGGTTTTTAACCAGAGCAGAAACTCTGTTCTAAAGAACTACTCAAGTTGCCTTTACTTACATTCTTTAACATGAAATCGAGAGGAAAAAGGTCTTTAAGCGAAATACATAAGTAAGGGCTGTAGAGCACGAGGGCTTTATTGTATGATATGTCTCTTTTAAATGTTGTGGGTCAGTGGCCAGTAGGTGGATGCTTGTTGTTTTTGGTCGGTGTATCTCTTCTGATTTGACTGTGTCGCTAAGAATGACGTAATTTACCACCAGTTTTGCGAGTGTTTTCACATAATGGTGGCAACGATGGTCTTTTACCTCTGACATTTATGTGTGAACTGCGGAACACCAGTAGGCATCGTTTGTAAACTAATCTAAACCAAAAGCAAATCTAGGCCCCATTTCTGTGGGTGTATTTTTCCCTTCCTGTAAATGAACCCTAGGGAATACTGTAAAAAGTCTAATTGCCCCCACCTCCCCCTCCTCTTTCCTTGTTCCTTCCCTTCGACATAGGACAAAATTATTATGCTATGGTAAAACTATTCGGATGGTCTTACTACTGCATTGTTATGCAGTTGAGTTAGGCTGGTGGTATACTTGCATTTGAAGTCCTTATTTTACTTCCCTGTTGCAAAACGATTCATTTTTAACGATCTTGTGCTGTCTCTACCATTGTTTAGCGTTTTGAAGTTATCGTTAATAGAGTAAATTGACTTTATTTATTTCTTTCTCAGTTTCATTTCTTTTGTTTCTCGTTCTTTGTGACCTTTTCTTGCACAATGAACCATAGCCAGGAACTGTATTCTACACTACAGATTGCTCAAGCATTTTCGCTACAGTAAAATCAATTTCCTGTCGGCTGTGCTTATTGAAGGGAAAAAAAAAAGGAGAAAAGCTTTCTACTGTTGTCAGAAATGCGTGATGTTACAAGAAGATTGTAACTTAAAATAATGTTTAATCTCAGTACGTCTTTATCTGCTCTTTAGGAAACAACACCCATAGCACCTACAATGCAAACTAATAAATGCTTTCAGTTAGGGATACTGGAAAATATTTTGAGCAAAGAGATTAGCTTGTAGCTAGCCCAAGTGAATGACAAAACCCCTACTGTCGTACAGTTTGTGTCTAAGGTGAGATGGGGGTGGTGGTGGCGGGGGGAGGTTAGTTACTAGTAGTTTAAAGTTCTAGAAAGCTACTACTGCTACTACTATTAAAGGCAATGGTGTAACGGTCTAGTTGTTTTCCGTTTTGTACTTTGGTCCTTTGCTTGGCTGTTAAAATACATTTGTTCACGCTATCGGTTTGAATAGTCTCTAGTGTCTATCTACAGAAACGGCACCAAAACACAGTTTTTAAACTAATGCGCAGTCATCGAAGAGTAGTGTTTTATTTCAAAATAGCTCACGGCTCATACCTTCTCAGAAGGCACGTGCAAAAGTCAACGAGCGTAAAAATATTTTTGTTATTTCCTCCAAATCTGCTATGCGACCAAAAATAACACACACTCTAAGGAAGTCAATGAACTTGTTTATTTCAGTTGAATTCTCTACTTCGTACGTCTCGTGGTGTTCCAAGGTATGGCCGAAGAAATTTGATACAAGGAACAAGAAAAAAAAGGGAAAAAACTTCTGTTATATTGCAACGGCTTGTATTAGGTTATTATCAGGGAATTTTCAACGAATTCCCTGTTGAGGTGATTTTTTTTAATTGGTATTGTTAACGGTAACCTGTTATTTGTCCAGCATGACATGGCAAAATGATCAGCGATATTATTACGTCATGCATTATTAAAATGTCATTAATTCAAGAGTAGAGCAGAGGTTGAAAGCTTTGAACCGTTTATTATGCTATTCTTTTTGTCTTTCAGCTTTGTTTGCGTGTGTTAGTAACATTGTGCACTGTCATTGCAATACTAAAACTGACATCAAACACGTCCTTACCAGTTCTACTTATTTACTGCGTTGAGCGCAAGTACAGTTCTCATTTCCCTGGATGAACTTCAATTTTAACCTTCCAAACTGAGACTTCTACAGTTGGTAAGTTTCAAAGCATTTTACCTCACTGCCGTTTTGTCTCGTGCAAAGGGACTTGAAGAAATTGTTAGCCGTAATACGGATAGTTGTCAGAGAGTGTTTGGCTATCAATTAGTTTTATAGATAGGCAACGAAGGTGATTTGATCATTTGTTTACAAAACACATTTAAGAATTTCCAACCTCAACATTATTTTTCAAACTTGTAAAATCCCTGCAAGTTTCCCGAGCGAAATTAGCAATATCCTCTTGTTAGCGGTTGACTATCGTGGTACATGCATGATTAGAGGCACAACTTTCAGCTTGAGGTCCTTAAACATGCGGCTAAAGAGTGCTGAAATTGGAATAAGTGAGAGATACTATAGAGGATGGAAATTCTGGCGTCACGTGATTGGTATCGCGCAGTTTTCGATTCTTTTTTTTTTTTTTTTTTGCAAAATTAACTCTGTGTACCCTTTAATCACACTGCTATAATTTTTAGCCTTTCTTGTCGCACGAGGTAAAATTGTTTGCTAAAAAGTTCGCTATATTCATGCGTTGTCTTCCAAAGACCTGTTCGCTATTCGTGGTGCTGACCTTAAACAACCTTCCTACACTCATTCTGTTAATTTAAGAGTAAACGTTTGGTAATTTTAGGGACAAATTATCCAGAAATTCAATACCAGTTTAAAATTAAATGAATTCTTGCCCTCAACATTTTCCACTTCTATTAAGAACCCGCAGCAACTTTCCAAGCAAAATCGGTATGAGCGGAACACGTTTAAACCGACTCAGCGTAATATGGGCCTGAATTATATTTATAAAAGAAAGAGTGTTGTAGACAGAAAAAATGACACAACAAGCCTTTTTGCTTCGTCAAAAATTGCATCTGCCGGTTGGTGAAATGATAATTCTGGTAAAGTCAAATGAAGGTCACTTAAGACCTTCACCATCAACAGCTCGAAAAAAAGTCAGTTTACAGGCGTCTAATGATTTGTTTTTCTATAAGACTAATAATTTTTTTTTCAAAATTCAATAGAATTTTACTCCTTAAGATAAATTTTTCATGCCTTTAGTGAAACTAAAAAGTCTAAGGATCATGGAGGAAAGATATAGGATATATGTTATTGCTTATCGTAGGTCTCGATGTGGTTAACCGTTAGCTATAAAATGGCAAAAAAAATAGCTTTCAGACGTAAAAAACTGACAAATTTTGACCATCAGTCGAAAAACGTAAACATTTTTCTGTTAAACATAACGGAAATAAATGAGCAGTTAGCCGTGAAATGGCCAAAATTTAACCTTCCTCATCCTTAGCATTGTTACCTGACTGTCGAGATATTTTCATTTAGTTCACAACGTAACAAATAAATAAAGTCCACAAACGTACATTATCCCATTTGATCTTGATGTCACCCTATCGTGACTCTCTGGCAAGATTAAGTTTTCCCATTTTTAGCTTGAATTCCACAAGTGCCCACAGTTTACAGACAAATATGTGTTGATGTGGAAAGAGTTGCAAGTAACTCACCCACACTGGACAACATCAAACTGTGGACAAGTTATAATCCCACTCAGCCACTTAATCTGAGACGAACTTCTTAGTCACCTTTCCATGTGGGTGGCAAAATATTTCAGCAGATACACGGTTCAATTAAGTGGCGGTTTTGCCATACACTTAACAGTATACTTCTCTCGATCGTTTAAACGTGTCTTAAGTGTGAAAATTTAGTCTGTTCAGTGAGTTACTAGAATTTATTTTTTTGCTCAGTTAGATTATTTCTTTGCATAAAGCCATTAGAGGAATTTTTTGCACAACTAAACGCCAAGTCAAATCTTCTTCCTTTCTTTGTCTTGAAGCAATATTTTAAATTTAGTTTTAAGTATGTAAACGTCGTTTTCTTTCTGAATGGCCTACTTGATTTTGTAAGCTATCATTCGAGTCAGGAGTTAATCATTTATAACTTTTTCATTTGAAAACGTATCTATTTCTATGATGTAAAACGTTCCGGGCAGAGGTTTGGTTGTTGCGGACACATAGTCTTAATCTACATGGGAATGACGTTCGCGTGCTGAAAGCTGGTACCGTCCCACTGTCAATTAATAGTAAGAACACTTACCGCTGAATACCACGCATAGTCTGAAGGCTTAAGACGTCAATGTAATTAAATGTAATGGTGTAAACTGCAATATTACTTTGTTGCGAAAACTATATGGAACTGAAAGTGACGTCAAAGTTTCACACGCAATGAGTGTTCGCTTCGTCTCTGTTTCCCGGAGTAATTTTCCGTTTCATGGCATTTGCGGTTTGTCTTTTTTTGTCTTTCCTTCGATTGCCTACCTCTGAAGAGAGCTGAAACGCTCCTGTCTGTTCTACGAGTCGGAAATGCTCTTTTTGACATTATTCAGTGGTTCATTTAGGCTTTAGAAAGAATTGGAAGAAAATGCAGCGGCAGTGTTTGTTTTATTATAAATATTCTGGTCAAGATCAATATAACTCAAATCAGATCATTGACTCAAATGAACGAGTGTATCATATTTATTTTTTCAATAATATATTCCATTCTCTAATGATGAATGTTTGTCGTCCATGTTCGTTTACTTCAAAGCCTGCAATACCTGGTCGAATTTAAAATTCCCTTTTCCAAAATTGTGCCGTTTTATTTCTTTATAAAAATGGGAATACTGGAAAACAGATTTGCTGATATTTGCAAAGTAGGTTGGTTACCTCCATCAGATCTCCTTATAAAAAAAGGGTTTGTTGATACTCAGAGATTGAGCAATAGTAATATTCAGATTTTATGAGTTCTAATCTTTGGTTTACATAAAAAATTGTTTCGCAGATATTCAGATCAATTCTATTTTTGATTATGGGCTTTTATCACGAAAGCTATTCCGAAATATCGTTTATGCGTAAACGACCACCTTAAGCTTGTCTAATTGCGTCAGTGTAGAAGTGATTATGTCTCGCCAAAACTCCTCAGATGGATTCACCCACCCACAGTTTTGTAATTATAGAAGTTTTTCGTGAAGACAGGTAGCTGATTCTTTGATGCAGTTTCTATCAAATATATTGACTTGTTTAACAAGCCCAGCTAATCGCACTCCTGGTGCGAATCGGGGATACATAACAACACTGATTTACACAAACTCCTAGTATTTTTCGCTTTGCAAGAGACTCAGATCGTTTTGTTTTGTTCGTTACAAAGTCGTTTCGCCCGTTTGTCTGTCAGCCAAACTGAAGCCAGTCGGTTTGTTAATCAGTAGATCACTTAGTGAGTCAGTTTATTTGTAAATACAAATATCGGAATATTGCAGAAGGTAATTAGTAAAGTTGTAACTCATTCGTTATGGTGAATTTGCGTTGAATGAGTTTGTTTCTTAATTAAGTTTTATGCTCTTAGCTGCGTGGCAAACCTTTCGTGGCCAATGTTTCTGGATTTGTAGAGAATTTTAATTTCAATTTACTCTCAGCTTGCTGTTGTCACGGTTTGTAATTATTTTACAACGATATTTTGTGAAGAAGAAGAGGTGTTGTGCTTGAAACAAGTCAACCAAGACAGTGACTTTAACCGACAACGTGGTAAAACAGAAGTGCTACTGGAAAGAACAATGGCGTTAACTTTTGGTACATTTTTCGGCCATCTTCTGCAAAACAATAACATCAAATCACCAAAATGTGCGTTTTCTGCGAATTAGATATCCATGCATTTGAAAGTCAAAGCTTCTCGCTGTTCAGGTTTGGCTGCGTAAGCGACGGTAATCACATTCAGTCATTAGTGAAATTCTAAACAAAGAGTTAAATTCACTTTCTGATCGACCTCTTCCTAGACGTCGCCGTCCTGACTGCTTAATGTCCCAAAATACCTCATGTATGCAGTTATAATATAAAAATTGCAGCATCTTTTTCTTCAGTACATGACCCAAGTTTCTCGGCCTCTCTCTTAAAGTCTGACTCTTTCAGAACTACAAAAAAATGGACTTTTCCTTTCAACTTATCCATTCCATACAAATGTTTACCAACTAGCGATAGACGATAGCATCCAAGTCTACGCTTTTGAGATCGGAATGAATTCTACTCGTCACAAGCTTCTGAGCTTTAAGCCAAAACTGAACTTTTTTGTACAAAACTGAGAAATAGCATTCAATTAAGACTTGCACGTTTCATTTGTCTTTTTAGTTTTTGAGTTGTCACTCCACGCATGCACTCATTACAATTGAAAACTGACTCATCAAATACTCGGCTACCGATCTAGATGCCTTAATATCATGTCTATACATTTAAAGGGTATGTTTAACGTCATTTTGTAAAAATATTGCATACAAGAATTAAATCAAACAATGAGCAAATCGTTAAACAATTTAACGTTGAAATAAAATTGCCAATGGTAGCCACTATCGGTTGAGAGGCCGTTTTACAAAAAGGTTAGACAGGGAAAGTCCTGCTTCAAATGCTTTCCTTCGCTTAGTTTAGCCTAACTAAGAACTGGCAAGAAGAGTACGGCGTGAATAAGCGATTCAACCATAGAGGTTAGTTGATATCTTGTATAGCTATGAAATTTTCTCTCTATATCCTATAAGAGATGATTGTAGAAAGTTGGCGGATCTCTCTTCATGTTCGTAAAAGCCTCCATCACGCAATGCTGTAGTTCTATTTTCGTTACGTAAGAATTTATTTAAATCAATTTTAACTATTCATCAAACAGTATTCATTTTTTTTTCATCAAAAATGAAAAGATTAAGGGGAAAGTGACAGTTTATTAAAACATCGTAAACCACAACTCGTCCCTTTCAACACTCGCCAAGTAATCATTTCACAATTTTGCCAATAAGTCAATATTTTAAATGTCTGTTAAAAATATCTATGATCAGGAATGCGAGAAAGAATTTACGCAACACTCGTGATAGGGGATTTCATTCAACATTATGTTTGTTTATTTGAAGTATATTAATAAATATCTATCAACAAGTGAACCATGCACTTCTAGCCAACAGACATAGTAACGGCTTTTAGACTGCTTTCATG